ACTTTGCCCTGAAGATAATTTCCTAGGGGAAGGCTACCAGCCAGGGAAAGTGCTGAGAGTGAGGTTTCAGAGACTCTAGTTTGAACTGGGCTGTTTCATACAAGGGAACTACAACAAGTTTTGGTAATGAGACTTTTCATATTTGGAGCATTTGCTTCAGATTCATTATGACTTGGATAGCTATACAAGGACTTCAGGACAGCTGGTAAGCCAGGCCCTGATCTTGGGCTTTCAGTGAAACATTAATATTGGTATCAGAACTGGTTTTTTGAACTTTTTGGACTTCAGAAATGGAATGGACAGGAGTGGTTCAATTGCAAAAGGACAGTTTTGATTTCACCTACACATCTATATACATTATGAACTATGATGACTTATGAAGTGTTTTGTGTAGAAATGGAGGAGTTTATTTTTTCTACCCAGGCTTAAGATGAAGCTTCAAAAAATATAAAATAAGGGGGAGTTGTTATATCCCTCAGTCTATTTAATTAAAAAAATGTACTGATGAGTAGGAGTTGGGATAAAGTTTTTGCTACTGGACTGGAGCAGCTCAAATGAAAAAAATATTTTCTCGTTCTTTGTATGGATAATGTTAGCCTGTATTTATGTACCCTATGTTTTGTTAGCAAGAAATGCAAAATGTTCTATTAAGAAATTGCTTTTGGATGTTTGCTAAAGTTTATGAAGTGTAAATAGTTCTATTAAGAGTTTGCTTTTGGATGTAAGTTTGTGAGAATTGTAATTGTGTATAGTAATCATACTAGAATTATGATGTTAACCTGTTAATGATAATGAACCATGGAGTGGTGATGCTAAGGAGGCCTTAATGATGTGGTTGCTTCATGAGTTTGTTGATTTAAAAAAGGGCTTGGTGAGCTAAGACTACTGTAATCATCTTAGACCCATTCAAAAAGGACATTTCATCTTGATCATCCTCTACTCCTTTACTAGGAGGTATAGCAGCCATAAAAAACAAGTGTATTGCTGTGATTGTTCCAGCTACTTGCAACCTCTTAGTGGAAAGCTGATTGAGAGCTGCATAGAGCTAAGCTCTGCACCCTCTTTTTGCCAGAGGCTGGTAGCCAAACTTTATATTACAAAGAAGGGGGAATGTGTGGGGGCCCACAGAGGCTCCCTAGTGAGGTTTTACTCAAGGTCAGAAGGTCTGAGCTTGCTTTATCAAGCGGGACTGCATAATGGGATGATTTGGCCATGGTTGTGGGTACCAGGTGTTTTGAGGGGTCTACACTTGGCTGTACATTGTGCTTTGATCTTGCAAGGGGGAGGTCTTTTGTCTCTCTCCTTGGCAATTGTACAAAAAGCCCTTTGGAATGAACCTTGAGGTGACTGATTATTGCCCTCCTGAAGCTATCCTTTGTCTCTGTCTTTCTTTTCTTCTCTTTCTGACTTTCTATCTGATACTTCCTCATTCTTCTCTTCTCCCCTCAAGAACCTTTTGACAGGTTGGAGCTGGACTCCAACAGACTCCCATATTCCATAACCTCCCAAACAGCACCACCAACTGGGAAATAAGTTGTCAGACACCTAAACCTCTAGGGGGATATTTCTCATTCAAATGCAAGTGAATATTAGGATAGGTATGTCTTCCAGGAACTCACATCAAGGAGTAGTCTACATTTTTGCTTTTTAGCTCATCACTCATCTGTACCAGCAGCAGGAAAGTCTGCAATGCTCTTGCTTTCCTAATGGCCTAAATTATAGGCTTTAGCTGTTTCCCATCCAGATCCCCAATTGGTTCCTAATTTTCTCTGTTTCAGATTAATTACTTCTTTAAGGTCTCCAAACAACTCATCAGTGATCAATTTCTGATCCCTAGGTACCAAATCTCTGGCCCATCAGTCATTCAAGACCCACTAGTCATATGCTTCCCATCACTTTGCACAATCAGTTAGCCCAGAATTCAGCAGGGGACAGATCATTGCTGCAGATGCTCCTTTCTGGAGCCTACCAGTCCTGGGGCCACAGTGCAGCACAGTGCTGTAAGCTGGCCTCATAATCACTATTCTGAGGAAGGGCCATACAACTATAGCCTTGGGCTACACAGAAGTCTGGATAGAAGGGATGATGCTTGCAATGTGAGCTTTCAAACCTTGAAAAATGAGAAATACTATGCTTGGAATACTGAGGTGAAAATAATAGACACACATAGCTCACTTAACACCAGGCAAAAAGCTGTGGAAGATGCAACCAGCCTCCAAATGGAACACTACAACATTGACAACACAACAAAGATCATGAAGACATGAATATATAATAACTAATTTATTTAGAAATATGTTGTAGCATATAATTTTTCCTTTTATTTTTGAGATTATAGTATAATTACATAACTTCTCCCTTTTCTCTGTCCAAATGCTCTCATGTACTCCTTCTGACTCTCTTTCAATTTCATAGCCTCTTTTTTCATTGATTGTCGTTACATGTGTATGTGTGTGTGTGTGTGTGTGTGTGTGTGTGTGTGTGTGTGTAAACATAGTAAGTTATTTAGTATTATAATTAAAGTAAGTAGTGATATTATAGTATTACTTATAGTCCAGATATGGGAGAATTATGAACGCTCTTGCAAAAACTGAATTAAAGTCATTATTTTGAGATAAAACATTTTGAAACCATAGGTTTCTTTACAGGCAGTCTCGGTTGCCTACAAGATCATTTGAAGAAGAGACCTTGTCTGCCTTCTCCAAAGCTTCCTCTTACACCACTGTCTTTCTTTAATTTTGTTTCCTCTGATTTCGTGATCATCAAGCAACCACATGCTTCATTTTCTTCTGTGTAGAGACTCCTCAACTGATAGGAGGAGGTGATTCTGGTTAATTGAAAGTATCTGCAGATTAATATTTAGATTCTCTTGAAAATTACATTCTGACCATGAATGAAGTGATGTGATTGAACACTTAGTCCCAACTGGTGGTGCTTTTGGGCAAGGTTATGGAACTTTTGCAAAGAGGAGGAGTCTTTCTGGAAGAAGTATGTCACTGGGGGTGGGTTTGAGTTTTTACAGCCTCATACCACTTCCTGTTCTCTTTTTATGCTTCCCATGTACACATGAAATGTGATCCACCAACTTCCTGCTCCTGCTGCTGTGCCTATTTGTTGCCATGTCTTGCCTGCCATGATGAACTGTATCCTCTCTGAAACCAGAAGCTAAAATAAGCCCCTTCTTTCTTGAGTATATTTGGTCACACTCTTTTATCACAGCAACAGAAAGGTAACTAATATGATCAGCATGTGTAAATTTGCTTAAAGTCTTTTCTAAAATGGAGCCCTGAGTACACTGCAGTTTTCAGACCTGACCTGCAAAGCTTGAGAGCAGATGTCTGATTGGAGTAGCCCAAGCAAAAAGGATATTTTATCAGGGATAATTCAGTACTGTTGACTTCCATTGTGGTTGTCTATTTTAATCCCTGCCCCCACCCCAGTTACTGTGATAATGAGGAAGTTATGTATTTTATTAAAACTTTTTTTGAGAGCCATAAAGAATGTAAAAGAATGTCACATAAACTTGTTTAGCAACTCTCTTGGTCTTCTAGTTCTTAGAAAAGGCAGAACTAGAAAATTTATAAAGTGCATTTGGAAGCTGAGAGGTGCAAGCCCACAGTGTAAGTATGTTTAGTTTGTGGTGAGGACCTGACTGCTGCCTCCAAGATGAACCCACTCTCTTACACTCTGCTATGAGAACCATGCTCACACCCATGAAAGCTCTGCCTTTGTGGTTTAATGACCCTTTTAAAGCCCCATTGCTTAGTACTATCATATTGGTGATGAGTTTCAACACATGAGTTAAGGGGGACATCTTCAGACTATAGTAACTTAACTAGAAGAGAAGAATTTTAGATATTAAAAACCAGAACCAAAAAGTAACATTAGTTGTTTTATGAAAATTTTTATCAATAATGTAATTTTTCTGGGAAAGTAGGATAATGAGTATCTGTTATCTGTCTTATTGGGCATGAGAATGTTCTCCACAGGTAAGTAATTCCAGGAATGTAATTAACCAAGAGCCCAGGAACTGTGTTGGGAATGTCTTGCTTCTTGGTCTCCTTTAGATGTTTCCTAATCAGTGACCACGAGCAGCAGGGGCACTAAGATACCCTGGCATCTTGCGATGGCCATGTTGAGGTTGAGGACTCTCCTGTGATTTTCTCCTGACTGCTAGGATTCTAACAGCACCTACTTCCCTTCCTTTCATTCTCCTTCCAACTGGGGCCAAAATTGTATCAGCTTCTTGGCCTGCTTCAGATTTCTCTTAATTTTCTTTCAAATAGACATCTCTTTAGATAAAATCTTTATATTTTAAGCCATTAAACTTCTATCTCCAAAAATATTTATATTACTATTTTCACAGTAGCAAAATTATAGTTATGAAGTGGCAACAAAAATAATTTTCTGGTGGGGGGGGGGTCGCTGCAACATGAAGAACTGTATTAAAGGGTCATGGCATTAGGAAGGTTGAGAATCACCATCCTAAAGTGAATGGAAACATTCCATCTTACAGGGCAACTCATGATACTCAGGAAGCAAACAATTCAATATCTTCAGGAAGTTCCTAAAACTGACCAGATTTACTATGTCCTTCCCTCTCCAGGTTGATAGAAGCAGTAAGAACTGCTGAGAGACACTCAGACAGGCAGAGCAGCCTGTAAGAGACAGAAACCAACTGAACGTCACATTGTGTAGTGAATTTTAAGTTTCTGGCTTCCATGATTCATCACCAATGCTGGGGTGGGCTTTGATGATGCTACTATGAGTTGTTTCTGTTCCCATAACTCCTTTCTATACTTCTTTAAGTAACCCTCATAAGCTCATTGCTTCAGTAAACTGGACTTTGATGGTATTGTTACTTAGGTCTGTCATTGATTTACTGTGTGGGGTAAGTAGACATTTTTTCATGTCTCCTCTGCAACAGTGCCTCACGGCAGCTGTATGAAGCCACCTACAGGTGTGTAATGTGTACATAACTCTCATATTGTTTCAGTTCTCCAGCAGGAAGCTATTGGGCTGGGATTTGCTCAGACATATTTTTAGGCCTTCATTTCCATATTCTATGGCCCTAATAATTGCTCCACTAACTTCATGTATCATGGATAAAAATGGACCCAAAGAAGGTAAGCAGTTTCCTCCTACATTTTCAAATCACATTCATAAGTAGGACAGCACCTAGTGATAATTGCAGTCAATATGATTATCAACTTGTTTATGGCTGAAAATTTGAACATGTACCTAAACTATCGCATGCCTTTCACACCACGAATGTGATGCTCATACAGCTCCCCTGACATCAGTGAGTCTTTACTAATGCATTTTCTCTCCAGGAACATTCTCAGATACCTGTGCAGCCTGCCTTCCACTGCTGGAATTTTCTCTTTTCTCCTCCAAAGCTCCTGGACGCTTCTACTTGTTCAGTGTGGCTCTTAGTCAATCCTGACAACCAAAATAATGTATTTTATAGTTTATTTAGAAACTACTTTTGAGATGATGAAAGGTTGTTTTTGTGTGTGGGGGGGGATGAAAAAAGAGATCCTAGAAGCACATAAGTTATCTTACTGTAAGATTTTAGCCTGAATAAGAGCTTATAAATAAAAGGCCCTTCTTTCTGCATTTAATTTTGCACAAAATGCCCAGAGAAGAGGCATATTTGTATGTTAGCCGAGTCTTGCCCCTTGATGTTTCCTTCTGGTTGCTAATAGAAAAATGTAAGGATTTCAATTGAAACACATATAAATTTTAAAGCTCATCAAATCATAACAGCCTTTGAAAGAATTTGGAAGAGATTGGATTGAACAAGTAGTGCTGTTGAAGATAGAATAAACTACCATTGTAGGCATTATCAACAGGGGCAGTTCATTCCACAAGTCATTAAAGGAGAAACTCCTGGAATGCTCACTGCTCCAACAACACTCTGCAAGGAGAACAATAAAATATGTTCAAGAAACTTGACATCTGATGGATTTATTTCAGACTTTCCATAGTCCCTTCCGTCACTTCTGCTCCAAAAGGAAAAGTCAAAATTGTGATAGAGAGTGATGAGTGTTTTCCAATAGCGTATTCTTCTAAATATTGATGAATTTTATAATGAAAATATTTTTTTTATTTTTACCCTATTAGTGCCACCAAAACTAGCAAGCTGATGATTATTTAATGAGGTAAAAAGCAACATATGCAGTGAGTTCACAGAAGGTATATGTGCCTAAAAGGTTACAGCAGCAAAAAGAGAAAAAAGTTTTTTTTTGAGTAAAACTGAAAGACATAGAAATTGAAAAGGTAAGAGAGAAAAGAGCAATAATTGTAAGCAAGACTGTGAAGACAGCAAAGTGTGAATTGTCTTATAAAATGTGGCCTCTGGGGCCTTATGGTTATAAAGACTTAGGTGTTTGGGGAGACGAAGTGAATGTATAATCAGATTCAATAAGTATAAGTTGTCTAGAAGAGATGATGTCATAACTGGTTGGGAGAAAAGCACAGGGTGAGCCAGACTCTGACAAGCACCTATCAGCAGCGAGTACCTACTGCGGAGAAGCCAGGGCCGACTCCAAAGGCAAGTCCAGCTTCGTGGCCACATGTCACAGACTGATGCATACTGTAGAGGCCCAAAGCTCCATCCTCCAGGGCACCTGACTCTTAATTCCTTCCTCACCATGTAGACTTTCTGATCTAAGCTGACTTTCTCCACTGAAAATAGAGTTCGGGCTTCAATATGATGGGTTTTGTTTCATCTTACAATTTATTTTGTCATGTTTGGTTGCTATCTCTTAGAAACCTGTTCCTTTCTAAAGAGAGACAGAAAGGGAGAGGATCCAGATGAGAGGGGAGGATAATAGATAATATTGTGTGAGAAAAGAATCTATGTCTAATGAATGGGGTGGGCAAAACAAAAATAAAAAAGGGGAAATTAAAGGACTTCAGAAGCACAGGATCCAACACATGCCAAACTCTTCATCTAGATCCGTATCCACACTCCTAGTAGCAATTACAGCCTATGTAACGATAACTGCACCTATGTGACAGTTTAGGAAAGAAAAAACAGACACAGAACACAGTTGGAGGTTTCCAGGGACAGGGTATGATGGACGGAGTCCTGACTCATGATGAGGCCCCATGAGAGAATTGGGGGAAGACTCCATTGTTCTTTAACCTTCATTGTGCTGTCAAAACTGATGGAACTAAGTACTTAGAGGTGTAAATGGCGATGGAAGTTTATGTTTTATATAAATAAAAGTGATGCTATCTCCCAAGCTCAGAGAACTGTATGGAAAAGAGTTAATAGGTTTTACTGCGTATCAACTGCGCATCTTCCTTATTAAAATAAATGCAAGACAGGAACATTTTAAGTTCTAAAAAAATTGAGTTTCCTAACATAAATATATGTATGTAAACATAAAAATCTATTTTTAATAAAAATATTCCAAAAGAAAAAAAAGAGTTAGGGATGCAGCTTGATCTGAGGTACATGGTCCAGAGGATGCTGCTGATGCATGAATTCTTCAATCTCAGATCAGTGGGAAAGAGACAGGATGTAACGAATAAACAAGTGGAAGATGCAGAGTCTGAAGAACTTGTGGTAGAAGTAGTGGCTTAGTGTGTCGTGACTGGATGGGAAGTAGCTGGATCAAGAGCAGTAACCAAATAGATAGAAAGCTTTGTCCTTCCTGAAGAAGGATGGGTTTACAGATGCTGGCAACACTGTGTGTGTGTGTGTGTGTGTGTTTGTGTTTGTGTTTGTAAGAAACTATATTAAAGTTTGATCTGTTGGTTTTCAAGTATTGACTGGTGTTGGGATTTTTTTTTTTGTTTGCTTTTGGTTTTTGGTTTGCATCAAAAGACACAGATTACTTTGAACAAATAAAGCCTTTCATGGTTGCTTCCTTTAACAGAATAGAAAATTTGAGTCTATAGTATATCTTCCACATGAGAACAGCTTCTTCAAATTATTGAGGAAATTCTCCAGTTGTTACTCAAACAGAACTTATTTTTAATTATATCATTATTTACATCCCAACAGTAGTTTTCTCTTCCTCCTCTCCTTGAAGTCCTTCCCCCTCTCTCTCCTCCCCCCTCCCATCCACTCCTCCTCTGTTTCTATTCAGAAAGGGGCACACCTCCCATGGATGTCAACCAAACATGACATATCAAGTTTCAATAATACTAGGCATCTCACCTTGTATTAAGGCTGGACAAGGTAACCCAGTGTGAAGAACAGGATCCCAAACACCCTCAAAAGAGTCCAAGACAGTTCCTGCTCCCGCTGTTAGGAGTCCCACAAGAACACCAAGCTACACAACTGTCACATACATGCAGAGGACCTAGCTCAGACCTATACAGGCTCCCTGGTCATTGGTTCAGTCTCTGTGAGCCCCTATGAGCATTGTTAGTTGATTCTGTCTGTTTTCTTATAGTGTCCTTGACCCCTCTGGCTCCTTCAGTCCTTTCCCCCCCTCTTCTGCAGGGTTCCCCAAGCTCAAGCTAATGTTTGGCTGTGGGTCTACTTCTGTTTCCATCAGTTACTGGATGAAGTCTCTGATGACAGTTGGGCTAGGCACCAATCTATGAGTGTAGCAGAATATTGTTAGGCATCATTATGTTGAATTTTTCCTTCTCCAATTGTATTTGGTTCTATTCCAGGTCTATGGGCTATCCAGCCTGTGGGTCTTGGCACTCCAGGTAGTGTCAGGGGTGGGTTCCCTCTTGTAGTCTGGGTCTCAGGCTGGACCAGTCATTGGTTGGCCACTCCTGCAGTTTCTGTGCCACTTTTACAGAAGCTCATCTTGTAGGCAGGACAAATTGTAGGTGGAAAGTTATATGACTGAGTTGGTGTTCCAATCCCTCCACTGGAAGGTTGTCTGGCAGAATCTATTTTTAATCGGTGTATGGAGGACCATTTGGGTTTTTTGTTTGTTTGTTTGTTTTTGTGTAATACATAGAATACTTACTTTTTAAAATATTGATCCAAACAAAGAGGATGATTGATAATCCACCTTCAGGGGACTCTATCATTAAAGCAGCCAAAGAAATCATGTCAGGATAAGTTGAAAATTTGCTGAAGCCTTAACCTTTCAAACTAAAGAGATGATTCTATAGATGATCAGACAGCTTTGTTTGGAAACTTTAAAAGCAGGCACATCAGAATTCATCTCTTTATCATCATTTAAACACAATGCTTTATTTGAGAAATTCCTGAAAATCAAAATTGGTCACTGTCAAATCCTGACTCTGTCAAAGAAGCCACTTAGCCCCCATGTGTTTTATTCAGCCAAGCAAGCCTCAAACAAACACATCAAGTCAGGAACTCCTTTACAGAAAGTTGAAATGTACTAAAAAGTAATAATTCCTGTATTATCCAAGATGGCTCATAGACATGCCATCACAGAGTTAAAGAGTTAGGGGCATAGACCTGTGATGTAAATGGGTGGTGTAGATTATTGACCTGTGTGCTTTACCCTGAGTTCTTCCTTACTAGCAGGCTCATATGTTTTTGGTATTTGGACTATGTTCAGCAGAAGGCAGGGGAATAACTTCTTAGCCTCAGAATGTCACCCTAGTGTGTACTATGTACTATAACTGTTGCTAAACAATGCTCAATAAAAAGTTTTAGACTCCTTGAAAATATAGTTGAAGAGTTAAGTCACCAATCAGCGTGGTGAATTTCTAGTCCAAAGACTTGCTGATATGAGGCTTCTCCTGGGT